ACGCACCTTCCAAAAATAAATAGAACAAAATGAAATGTTTTAAAATTCTTCCACGCAGAAATGGAAGTAAACAATTATTCAAAATTGTTTGAGTTTATGTCAGGAAAATCAACGAGTTTTCCTCTAAATGCTTATGCTTGCAATAGTTGGTGGTTGAGTCGTCCTGAATTACATGTACCAATCAGATACAATTATGAAGAACAGGAAATTTTAAGTAGGAGTCTTTATTCCAATTTAGAAAAGAAGGAAATTGTTTTCCTGACTAGAAAATTTTCACAGACTTTAAATTTCCCTACCTTTTTACAGAGAAGTTTTGAATGGGAGTGGCTTGCATAACCTCAGATCAGTGGAGGCGGGGAGTGTTTCTGATTGAAAAATTTCAGCTTCACTCTGAAGAGGCTTAAATTTCCCTCTCCTGGTGAAGGGTGATCTCCCTTTAGCATCCTCAGAATTTGCTAATGGAGGGATCTTAGAATTATTTGTTTTATTTCTGAGAGTAATGTCTATGTTTCAATAATGGGGGCCTTTGGCAAAGTGTTCAATTTACAAACTCCCCACATTTTTATATTTTTATGATTTTAACAGAATTACATCTTTACCTACTATTTTAAAGGAATTTTATAATTTGTCAGATTTGGAAATCTATATGTAAATAATGCTAGAAATAAGTAAAATGCTTTTTGGGCTTAGGGAAAATTGAGGCATAGAACATTTTTTTATCTTTTGACCATATCATTTTTAAGACTATTGACTTGCTTTACCATTCATGCAAGGAATTAAATTCCCACAGTCACTGAAATATTTTATAATTCAAAGCTACAACTCTTTGAAAAGAGGTATACCCCTTGTGGAATTCAATATTAGGAGGGCATTTTAAACTCAGGCTTTAACATGAAACTTACTGCCTTGTATATCTTTGGGTTCAGGTGGAGGGTGGGTTTTAAGACATGAAGTTTAATGTTACTATCTTAGGCCCACTTTATGATGACATTCCAAATCCATGATCTTCAGAGCAAAAGGAAAAAGCAATAAGTAGCTGCTTCAAAACCACAATTATTCTATGTGAGTTAAGTTTCCTACTTCAGATCACAGTACTACACACTAGTGACTAACGGGCCAGGTCTCATTTGCATCCCCTTTTGTCTTTTGGAAAACACCGAATACAGACTGCCATTTTGATTTTTTGATGACCCTGGAGTAGGGGATGTGGAGTCCATGGTAGACACTGGCTCTCCTAGAATTGCTTTTGTAAAAACACCACATGCTGTCAATACAGCCAAACAGCTTCATAACTGCAGCTTTTGAAAGAGTTTGAAAAGTGAAAACACAAAATATGCAACACATCTAAGATCAGTAACATTTTCACTTTTGTGACATTGGACAAAATACATTTCTGTTTGTAGTTCAGGAAAATTCTATGCAGACAAAACAGTGAAAACTGCGGAAAGGGTGGCCATTCAGCTTTTGGCTAAAGCATCAATTTTCAACTACAGCGCTATGGAACTAACACCAAAGGGCTAATAAAATTGTGTCACTATCTTTAGGACTACATTTGGCTCTCCCATTTCCTATGGATGACACATCTAGTCCAGTATATGGGAATTACTAAGGAGTCAGAGAACTTTGTAATGTTTCATGAGGAAAAATAATTTAAATAACCCTACAATGGTACGCCCTCGGAAACCCTGTACAGGGTCGCTATGGGTCGGACCCGACTCGATGGCACTTAACAACAACAACAACAACAATGGGCCAGAGAGGCGCATTCTTCAGCTCTTTCACAGTTCCTCTGACCTTCACAGAGCTGGAACCCAGACCTCTGAAAGAACTTTACTTTTCAACTCATCTGAAAGCTATAGTATTCAACACATTTACAGGGGCAGAGTAACTAAGAGATGAAAGAGAAATGGCTAAAAAGGAAACCAAAAGCACATTGAAAGACTTTATAACATTTTGAAATTCACAGGTAAATTCACTAGAAGTTTAGCAAGTGCAGAATATTATCTAAAACCAATCAATTAGACCATTGTAATAGTCTACATTTGCTGATTAGTCCTGATGTTGAGAATTCTTATCAAGGAAAAATGTTGCAATGAATCCACAGCTTTTAATCCAAAGAGAACTCCAGTTTTAGTGCCTTGACAAAACATCCCTTCTCAGAGTTAACTAAAAGAAAAATAACGGGACCATGCAAAAGATAACAGTTGCAGCTGGAGATAGAAAATAAAAAATAAAAACAGGAAGTTCCTCTTTTTAAAGAGAACTATATCAACTCCTTTTCATTTTTTACAAAAACGCTAATAATTTTTTTGTGAGAACATATCTGAATTTTATGAGACTTCCTGTACTGGTAAATGATGTTTGCATTTAAACCCATCCAGAAAGATTCCTTTTGGGTTAAAGAATTTTACTGTAAAGTAGGAAGACTGCACAAGCAATGTAAATTAACTGGTGAAGGTGTGAAGTTTACCATTTAGGTGGTATGATTTTAAGATGTGTAAAATAAGGCTATTAGATTTAAATTTCTCTGGGGATTGAAAAAATTGATATATCAGTGGGCTATTTTGCAAAAATTTTAAGCAGCCAAGTTTCAAAGGCCACTTTTAATATTTTGGTTCCCTTTACACTGAGGCAGTTCAATATTCAAAGTCCATACTCAAAATGACAAATCTGTTTAAAGAGGGGTATTTGAAATAAGTAAATGTCAAAATAGTACAGATGTTTAGGTCATACAAATTAACCAGAAATTCAAGTATAAGCTAAGTCTTTTTCTGATCTGAACCCCCACCCCCACCCCATCAACCCCCACACACCACATTGGTCTTTGATCTCAAAAACATGGGCTCTCTTTGGGATTCTATTACAAAACACTGCAAAATCTTGACATGCAATGACCACATAATTTCATACACTTCTTTAGAAATCCTGTGAATGGTCCTAACTAAAATGAGAAAATGCAAAGAAGAAGCAAAGTGAACTTAAAAATGGGTTTGAACCTAGGATTGAACCATGTTATTTCCTTTGTTACTTTGTATGATGTCTTGTTCAAGTGCATTTGAAAAAGATTCATGTATATATATATATCATGTATCAGGGTTATCGAGTGATTTTTCACTCTCATGCTTACTTTCTATTGTCCTTTAGAAGGAATAAACAAGTTGATCACATTAACAAAAAGGGTGTTCTCCTGACCTAGATATGGTATTGTCAAAATATGCTTGAAAGTTCTAAAAGAATTTTTTTTTTGTTCCATACAATAAGCCTTTGGTTCCTGAGAAAAGCAAGATGCTTTTGAATTTCATGTGGTAAAGCCTTCTATCTAATAGAGGGGACCCTATAGACCATACTTAAATTAGAAACAATGGCCAACATATTCAATGCCTTATGCATTCTATCATAAATTCAACCTTTCTTTAGGTCTTTTTTATATGAGTGGAGATTACAACAGTTTTTTACAAGAGATGGACAAAAACATTTTTTAAAGCATTGATCATAACCCCAATGCTACATACTTCCCACCTTATCAACTCCCTGCTTACTTTTATTTTATTCTAGTACAGTCAACCTCTAAGTAGCTAACTAGCTATGTTGTGGTTAATCTAGGTCCCTTACGTTGGTTGTCCTGAGGATGGACAATTAACGAAAATGGCCATCGGAAGATGAGCAGGAGCAGATGTGTTATCTTTAGGCTACTAGGACATCTTGTCAAAAATGATTTAACAGGATTACAAGTTGAATGAAGATGCAAGTCATGACTTATCTGTGGGTTTCAACTCTGCCTAGTATGCCTGCCCCTTATTTAAAAAAAAAAAAATCATCATAATGTAAGAGCCATATATTAATGGTTCTGTAGAGAAAACACACTTGTTGAGACTGAGTAATCACTGATGGGAGGCTTCCTGAATAATGCCTCAGTTTCTGCTGCAGTGTGGTAGAGGTATTCCTCAGGTCTATTTAGGAACTTGGAGACCATTAAGAGTAAAAATTTGCTTCCCAAGAGGCAAAAGGAATATGACATATAGCCCTATGAAAGATTTTTTGATGATATAATACCAAAGTTAGAAAATTTTAGGAACCTGGATTCAAAAGTATAGTAAAATCTCTCATATTGTTATAATAATAATGTTGGAGAATCTGATCAATGCCTGACTTTAAATTTGAGGCCTGTGATGTTTGCAGTTCATGCTTCCTTAGATTCGGTTTGACCTCTCCTGTCTCCAAAGTATATTCTCATAGCACTCCATGCTGTTTGAGTGGCTTAGCTGGGAATGGAGATGATCCTGCTTTGTTGAGTTAGGAGAAATAAATTTATATATTGGAAGATCTAAATACTCTCCTTGAAACTTTTCCTTTCTGTTGCTGTGGGTATGGAAAGGAAGGAAATAATGTGGGTAGAATTGTTTTGGAATAAATGAAGGTGGAATACACTTAAAGACCTTGTTATTGGACTCTTACCTCTTGATCTTGCCTTCAGTAAGTGGCTAGAATAGACAGGGAATTTGTGCTGGTGTAAAATACTCAGATTCAAAATTTGAAACGCCCTCATTCTCTCCTTGATGTTGTTGAAGTCATACAAATGGGTTGGCAGCCCAGTTACACTTCTAAAAGCAAGTTTTACAATGACTTCCAATATCCCATATGTCAGATCGAAAACTCTGACCATGTAATCTGTTATTAGAATCAACTGACCCTTTGGGGCACATCATTAAAAACCTGTTTCAAAACATGCACTTATTCAATGTTTGCCTTCCCAGCTTCACTGTAGTGCCCCACTTTTATCCTTGCCACTCCAAATCTGAGGAGTTCATCAAGGGTTAACCTAAGTGCAGATTCAAGGAACGGGACAAGGAAGCCCTCTTTTATCTAAGGGAACTTGCACTCTTCCCTATAAGCATGTTTTACCTATATAAAATTCAATTTCTTCAACCAGGGACATTCTCACTGATTGAAAATGAAGGTTGAATTCCCCACGTGCCCCTAGGCAGAAAGCTGCCTTTTTCTTTCTCATTTAAAGCAAACGTCCAGAAGTTGGTCTTCACTGTCTCAGGAGAGGAAGTGGACTAGAGTCCATTTTGCCTGCTGTAGTTGAAGTCGGCTTCATCGAGCTGGGATTCTGTAATGTTTGAGAGTTTCGTGTGTGTCCTCCCAATCTCTTCAAGGGCACAGGCCAGGGAGTCAAGATCACCATCGTGCTGATGACGAGCTTCCCACAGGTTCAAAATGACAGCAGATGGGCTACTTTGTGTAGCAAAATAAGATAAATTCCTAGATAGAGAGAGTTAAACAAACAAACAAAAAAAGAACAAAACAAAAAATGAAAACAAAAATAAAGGAACCAATAAAAATCACCATAAAGCTGACAAAAAAACCATTGCTGTTGAGTTATTTCCAACTCATAATGGTTTTATAGGACAGAGTAGAACTGCCCTTTGGGGTTTCCAAGTCTCTAAATTTTTACAGAGCAGACGGTCACATCTTTCTTTTGTGGGGGAGCTGGTGAGTTCGAACAGCTGATGTTTCAGTTAACAAACAAGTGCTTTAAACATTGCACCAACAAGGCTCCTCTAAATTCACTATGTTGTTGTTAAGTGCCGTCTAGTTGGTCCCAATTCATAGCAACCCTGAATAGGGTTTCCAAGAGTGGCAGGTGGGTTTGAACCGCTGACCTTGTGGTTAGTAGTCCAGTGCTTATCCTACAGTGCCACACCAGGACTCCAATTTTTTTTTGTTGTTCACTATAAAGGACTTAAAAATGATTTGAATGGCTATTACTATGATACTAGTAAAGAACTACACAAGACATATCTAGGCAGTTTAATTTTTATCCCAATGCAATAGAAACTATTTTTTGAAATATTACCAATGGCCTTCTCATCGTCAAAGTATTTTCTTAGTTCTCACTTCCCTTGAATTCTTTTTGTGTAAATGTGTGTGTTTATGCATGTGTGTGTATATCCTTTATAGCCACGCTCTTCTTGAGAAGTTTATTTCCTTAGCATATGTGATAATGTAACCTATTTTTCCAAAATATGTGCCACCTCTTTTATCTCTCTCTTGGCAAACATAAGGGCAGTAAAGTCTATCTTTGTTTATCTTCCTTGCCTTCCTCAATGGGATCATATGCTAGAAGGAATAGTTATGGAGCTCCAAATGGATAGTTTTTAAACCTGAACCTCCAAGTTCATCAGCTAATGGAGCTAATTACAGATCTCTAAACGACCTTGGATATACAGATTAGATTGCTTCAATTAGATGGCCCTCAATCTTTTCAAAACAGTGCATCAAAATTTGGTATCATCTTCATGTTCTCTAATTGGCGCCTCTTCTAACTATAGCAAATATCCCAGGAAATCAAAATTTCCACTAAATTCTCACTCTAAGAAACTTATTTTTGACTCTTCCCTTTAAGTTGATTCTTCTTTTGAAACAGACTCATCAGAATGATCCATTTCTCTCCATTCATTCTACTAACCCCTTATTTATGTCTTTATCATTTTATAGCATAAGCCACAGTAAGACTCTGGCATGTCCCATGTCCCCAAATTCTATGTTCAATATTCAATGTGTCCTTTTTACACAATCATCAGGTTTCAACTCTGTCTTGTTTTAATACTCATTTTCAACTCTATATTGTTTTAATTCCTTGGTCTGGCCTCCAGCTAACTAGAGTAACAGAGGTATTTTCACTCAGTCTTCTTTCACAGCCAATCCTGACTTCATTAAAATAATTGCTTTTTGCTTTCATTTCATCTATTCTGTTCTTCTAGCATTGCCCACTTCTTCCTTTACCTTCTCTTTATCAAGATCTTATACTCCTTGAGTAACAAGCATATCTCCTCTATGCTCAAAATTGTTTGTTTTCTCTGAGCTCTTTCTATGCTTGCACAGAAACAGTCATATGAGTAAACATGATTACATATTTTATGACAGAGAGCTTTGCCTTTCCTGTGAGATTACAAACTCCTGGAAAGCAAGAATGATGTCTAATAATTTTCTGAATCCACTACTGCACTGTTTATAGAACTAGACATACATGACAGATATTTATTCAATATCCACCAGCTAAGTAATTGATTACTATGAACTGTTTCCAGATAAGGGATACTTAGTGAAAAAAAAAAAGATAAAGTCTTGGACAATAACCTGCTAAGATGAAGACTAAGAGCTCATAAAGGATTAAAGGACACTGTTTTTCTTAGGAATTTTAATAGTCAAGTTAGAAGTATCACCTTTGATATAATGACTTTTAAATATTTTCCTGAGTCAACCAAAATGTGTCTATTTTGAGGTTGGTAGTACTTTCTGTCAACAAGTCTGATATACAATCACAAAATAGACTCAGTGAAAGAAGAGCACTTGAAAGACAAGCAAGCTTTTAAGACATGGGTGGGGAACATTTTTTTTCTGCCAAAATGTATAAACATCATTTGTGGGGCATACAAAATTGTCAACTTAAAAATTAGCCTGCTGTATTTGGTCAAACATTTAATTAACTCACCCTGAGTGTGGTGGTTCAAACTTATCAGCTACTCCCTGGAAACTGTATACAGGGTTGCTATGAGTCAGAACCTATTCAACGGCACTGAACAACAACAACATGATGGTTTGAACTGTGATTGCCTTGGCAGGACCAGACCAAATGATGTTCCTCTCTCCTGTTTTAAATGCACATAACTGAGGAGATGACCTAATATTGTGGCTTAGTCAGGCACACCATGTTTTTCACCTACAGCAAAGATCTAAGAAAACAATTAAAACACATGCAGATGACAATTCTGGAGCATCAAAGAGAAGAATATGGAATAAGATCAGATCCTGACTGAAAAGAGAAACTGAGTGAAAACAGGGAATGAGGAAAGACACAGCTCTGAGGTGACCTCTCAGCTGGCTCAGCACAGAGTGTCCATTTTGGGATAAAACCAGCAGTGATCCTGTGTGACAACCATAGAAAGACAACTTCATGGAATTCCCAATAAGAGATAGAGAAACTGTGTACATATACCAGAAGTGAAGAAAAGTAATCAGGACATGAACCATATCTAAGGTGGAAAATTAAAGGAAGGAGAGTGAGAGCTCCAGGGATCCAAGACTCCACAAAACAGGGAAGGAGCCCGAACCACAAGAGAGAGGACTACCATCAGCAGTGGTCTCTGGCCAGTTAGATGCACACACAGAGTAACAGATCCATAAAGTATCGCCAGGAGAACTCTCACTCAGCCAGACTCCAGGCAGTTCCCACTGCATGTTTTCACTTGATTTGTGCAAGGTCATGATTGCTAGCTGTAGTCAATGTGGAGCACCCCGGGAACCAACATTGGGTTACCACCACACTTTCCCTTCCCTTTCCTTCCTGGAGATTATCATAGAAAACCCTGATGACCCAGATCCCTGCCCACCTGAGGACCTTGGTATGACTTCTCCCTTTCCTCCCAACCCAGCTTACCCATTTGCTATTGGCCAGCCTATGCAAGGAATAGCAGTGAGCACTCCCATGCCACCAGATGCTCAGCAAATCTCCTCAGGCCCTCATACTCTCTCCTTACCTGCTACCTCTTTTATAAGGCAATTGGCATAGCGTGCTCCACACCTCCAGTCACCCCCAGACTCACTGTCGACCACCCTGTCAACCCAGTGAGAAGCAGAGAGTGTTGTTGTGCCACTCACTGGCACATCCTCCTGTCCACTGTCCTTCTCATCCAGAAAGCACCACTGCATGTTCCATAGCTCTGCACTGATAATAGTTGATGGCCTGTGCATGCCAAGGTACCCCTAATCATCAGTATGCCTAATGAATTGGAAAATATAACCACCCCGTCCACTGCTGCCTCATTGCCCAGTGACCACTGTTGAGCACTCCCCCTGCCTCCAGGAAAACCACCACCAGAGCAAGCCTGCCCCACCTGGCCTGATCCATCAAAACAAACAAAACAAAATATTCAATAAATAAATATTCAATAAGTAAATAAATATCTAAATAAATCAAATAACAATACCTCAAGAACAACAGACAATAACAAACCACACGAGAAAAACAAAATGATAAGGACAAAATGGCTAAAACAAGTGAGCAAAATTAAGGTAAAAAAACCTTTCAGAGGAAGAAATGAAAATTTACCTGTAAAGGAATTTAAAAGACATACTTAGGATCATTAGTGTGATCAAGGAAAACAAAGGGAAAAAAAACCCAACAACCTAGAAGAATTTAGGAAAACAACACAAAAGCAAAATGACAGACTCAACGAACAATTGTTGTTATATTCAAGTACCATAAAGTCGTTCCAACTTAGTGTCCCATGTGAGATTTTTAAGGAGCTACTGATGATTTTGAACCACTGACCCTGCAGTTAGCAGTGCAGTGCTTATCCTACAGCACCATACCAGGACTCCCAATACACAATTCAAAACCATATAATAACAGCAACAACTAGAAAAATAGAAGTTTCACAATAAAATACTAGAAATGGATGGCATGGCAGAAAGACACAGAAGTAGAATTGAATCAATGAAGAAACAATGAGTGCAATACAGGATAATTTCCTGGATACCAATTTGTTTGAGGAACAATACCCAAAAAATGAAGAAAGATTAAGAATTATGTGGGGCACTATCAAGAAGAATAATTTATGCACAATAGGAATTCCAGAAGAGGAGGGAAAACAATACAAAGAACATTTGAAGAGATATTGGCTGAAAACTTCATAAGTATCATGAAAGTAGAAAAGGTTATTATCCAAAGAAGTTCAGTGAACCCCACATAGGATCCAACCCACTACTGTTGAGTATATTCTGATGCATAGTTACCTTACAAGACAAAGTAGCACAGCTCCATAGGGTTTTTAAAGCTGTAATCTTTATGGAAGCAGACTGTCACATCTTTTTCTCACAGAGTAGCTAGTGGGTTCAAACCACAACCCTCTAGGTTAGTAGACAAGCACTTAACCACTGCATCACCAAGGTTCCTTTCATAGAGAATCATCCCCTCAAATCATTCACTAAGATATGATGAAATTTTCCTATAGAGAAAGAATTCTTAAAGCACACTATGAAAAATGAAGCATCACTTACAAAAGGGCACCAATAAGACTAAGTGCTGATTTCTCATCAGAAACCATTCAAGCAACAAGGCAAAGGGAGAACACATATAAAATTCTGAAAAAAAAAAAAAAAAAAGAATTGCCAACCAAAAATCATACATCTAGCAAAAAAATAAAAATAAAAACCTGACCAACCTTATAATAAGTATTAAAGGGAATCCTTCAGATAGA